TTCTCTGTGGGCTGTCCGTTGTTCGTCGGTGTTGGTGTAGGGGGGTGATCTTGTTGGCCGCGGCCCCGTCTCCAGATGTTGGCTGAATCAATCACTAATCATTTATTATTATGGTCTTCCTTTCCCGCTGCAGCTTGCAGGCCAGTCTTCTTTCTGCCCGGATAGGATGCACTGCCCTCCCTATCCTTGCCCCTGACTAGCGCGCTACCCGACCATCGCCTGGACTGCGTACGAAGGCCGTCCGGCCTATTTTCTACCAGTCTGACGACGGCCAGCAGACGGCGTTGACCGAGGCGAGTCGGCGATAATTCCGGCGCCAGATGGCTTGCTGAAAAGGGCTGGAGGGGGAAGTAACACCCGCCGGCTCATGTTTTAGGTATATGGAGTCTTCTGGGAGTTTGGTCTCCTTGGACTCTGTCTCATCCTGGACGGACACGCTGTGAGCTGGGGATATCCTTCCCCCACCCGCTGTCTTCCCTCGCCGCTCGTATCTTCAGCCATGCCATCTTCGTCATCTCTCATCGTCAGCCTGGTCGCCGCATGCTGGAGACCTTGCCCCATCCGCCAGAATAGCCGACCGGCCTCTGGAATCGCTGATGTCGTCGGCGTCCTTCTCAGTGTATTGCTTTACTGCTGTTGCTGCGGCGTCTGTACGTATTTATGTATTTATGTATTTATGTACGTATGTACGTATGTATGCGTGTAAGTATGTAAGTAAGGAAACCGGTACTCCTGTCTCGTACCGTAAAGCGGTATGTAACAGTGGAACCCACGTGACTTCCCAGCTTCCTGGTCTCGGTAACTCCGTAATTTACACGTTTTCTGCCCAGTAAATTTGGGTTATTCGGCTCTTCCGCCCTTCCCTTTCGCTCGATCGCTCGCAAATCCACAAAAGAAAAGAAACGAGACAGCGAGGGAGGCGCAGAGAGAGGGAGAGAGGAGAGAGATAGGCAGAGCAGAGAGCTAAGCAAAAGCAAAGCCCACAGAGCCCACAGCCCACAACGTCCACGGAGGGAGCGTGGAACTAGTCGCTTTTGCCCTGTCATTGGGCCGCTGGAGGGACCCGGATCCTTGGGAGCGGGCTGGCGGGCTGGCGGCGAATCTTCTGGCAGGCCCAGCGGTCACGATGGGCGGCCCTCTTTTTATTTTTCACTGACGCAATCAGAGCAGAGTTACTCTGTACTCCGTACGGTTGCAGCTGAGAAGCAGACGACAAGATGCGATGGACAGAGGCGGGATATAGACAAAGCTGCTGCCTCCAGAGCTCGCTGAGGCGAAAAGTGTGACCTCCTTCCGCGCCCATCCGGCCGCCCATACCATCCGTCCGCCACGCCCAAAGGAACCTCTCCTCCACCGTAACCAGGAACCAAAGTTGAGGAGACATGGACACGGCAAATGGCACGAAGAGGTTCAGCTTGCCTGCTAGCTAGCTGGCCCTTTTTTTTTTTTTTTTTTTTTTGGGATGGTATCCAGATTACCCGAACGCACTGCTTTGCGACTTGCCTCTTTCGACACCTCCCGCTGGTCAAGCTTAAAAAACAAAGCAAGGAGCCGGAAAGGGGAAAAAAAGGAATACAATACTACTACACAGCAAGAGGAAGCAAAAGGGAAAAAAGCAAGGAAAAAAAAAGGAGAGAAGGCGAGACTACCGCGGTGCGTTAGACGATATTAATACGGAGTAAAGTCCCGTATTAAGGGCCCTCCTCTGACTGAAAATAGAGATTTTCTGCTAAGAGTGGTCGCTTCATGCCAGATTACCATGGGCCTTACTGATGAACCAGAGAGTTTGGAGGGAGTACGAAGAATACGGCGATATTTTATCATAGTACATGCAGGTGCGGCCCGATCCTGCTTGAAAATAAAAAAATAAAAAAAAAAAAGATAAAAGGGAAAAAATAAAAAATAAAAAAATAGGGTCGGCCCAAAAAGGCTGTACTCCGTACGACGTCGGGCAAAAGGATTGGTGGAATAACGATGTCTGGTTTACGAGCACACAGCTCTCACTCCATGGTGGGCATGCAGATGAAGAAGCTGGTTGTCTTGATCTTCTGCATCCCCTGTCAGAGCAGCAAGTGGCTGAGAAGAAGGTGGAGTGCATTCTATTCTTTTTTTACATATTAACTTCTTACTTTTACAGTTCTCGATTTCGTCATACCGCTCCTTTTTGCCTGCACGGGCGGGCTATTAAATTTCCTGGGTTGTCTTTGGGGTTGTTGGTTGGACTGTGACGTGATGACTATCTGCAGCTTCCCGCTTAGTACGTGCATATACGCCTTGTGATGAGCAGGAGATGATGTGAAGAGAAGGGGGAGGAAAAGGGAAGATGGCCGACATGAGCATTGACACACAGGTTTACCATCGGCAACGACTGTCAATGGTACGATCACACGCTTTGATGCCTTAGGCCGGGGAGGAGGAGGGGAAGGGGGGGAGGAGGGAAGGGAGGTTCACCAGCCGCCTGATACTACGATATCGGATGGAGGAGATCACGCTCGCAGACCATGGTACGGGCAGGGTGTTAAGTATATCCAACCATACCTCCTCACCCCCTTCCCCCCTCCCTTCCGTACTCCGTCCTCCTCCGTTCTATTATTAAAAAAGGCAGTAGTGTGGTTACAGTTTTAACTTTGTCCAACCTGCATGCATACCACGCGGACGCTACTGCAGCACTCCCCTTCTTACCCGCTTCTCAGAAGGGAGGGGGGAAGGGGACTGCCGACGGGACTCCGCAGCAGAAAGGAGATTGAAAGCACATGTACCAAATAAAAAGGAGGAAGAAGAAAAGCTGATGGTACAGAAGCTGTACAATTGGAGTCATACCTTGGGATAAAATACCAACCGCATAGCCTGATGGTGTGTGTACCTGCAGAAGTGGTACGTACAGACATACTCCGTACAGACGTCTCTTCCTTGGTTGGGCCTTTTTTTTTTTTTTTTTTACTTTACTTCATTTCCCCACTGTTTCAACTTTGATGATTTCAGGAAGGGGGGATATCTGAGGTTGATAAACGAGATGACGAACTTACCTGTTGATCTATTTTACCTCGACGTTCTCTCAAAAGGTCCAGAAGATGGTGAGGGAGGCTACCTGCATACAGAAGCATCTTCATGGACGATAAGGTTCATGCATGAAAGGGCGAATCATCCGAGAGAAGAGGGGGTGGGAAGGACCCCGAAACGGAGTTTATGCTACCCTATCGGCAACTGGTCTAGAATGTCCATGGCTGTTCGAACAACCGGGAGGAGGGAAAAGAGAGCAACCTGAAAGAGAGGGTCGGAAAGTTTTCTGCGGAACCAGAAGGGAGGAAAAGAGCATGAGCCAAAGCATGAATGATACAGAGCAAGAAGCAAAAGCAATGAAAGGGAAAGATTGCTTGACTATCGATCGAAGTATTAAACTATGATGCTATCATATGACGCTTAATGGTTCCGCGATAGTTTATCTTGACCGTGGTTGAAGGAGGGCGAAGGAAAAGAAAGTATGTTCCCCAGAAGGCATCGAAGGGACGGGCCTTTTCGTTCTCTCTCCCCCGTTTCAGGAGACTTGCTCCAGCATCCATTGGTGGTGGTGGTTACATTATTCCGTCGGTCCCAAGTGGTTTGTTGTTTGAGGCGGAGGGGTACCTTGGCCATGGAGAGAGTCTCGTGGGCATGGTAGATGGGTACGGGATAGGTGGGAAGGCGGTTGATCAGTGATCAGGATGGTCCTTAATGTCCGAGGAGAGGAAGTAGAGGAAGAAGGGGGGGAGGGTGGCAGTGGCAGGTGGCCAGTGGCGAAGGGATAGCAAAGTACCTGGGCGTCAGATGATCTCATAGAACAGCTTGTCTTGGTGACTCTACAGCCCGCACGCCTGTGTCTGATAACTGTGTCTATCTTACGTCTATCTTATATCTTTATCCATTGATATACATACCTATATATATGTGTATATATATGTATATACTTATATCTATATGATCGCAGGCTGGAGGAGTTCGTTACAACTATCCAGCTGCTCCCGTAAGGCTGTGTCGTATGTACGGTAAGGTTATATATTACAGTAAGGTTACATGGTAAAACCGACCGTAACGTAACTTACCGGCGAATACGAGGATATCAAAAGGGCCGCCACGATGACAGCGAGGAGACGCAGCAAGAAGCAGACGCTGGCGACGATGATAGGACGCTGCAGCAGCGTAACCGGAAGTGGCAGATGCTAGAGCAGACGCGAGTAGCAGAAGGAACTGAGAGCCAGCAGCGCCAGCAGAGAGACGACCGAGCAAAGGGGGGAGGGAGCCCCAGGGAGAGCGATGACAGGCGTAAGAAAAAAAGGGAGCCAAAAGTCGCAAACTTAGGGGCTAACTTTTAAATTAGTCTATCCCGACTCTGTGGACAGTCCCTTTTTCTTTTCTTTTCTTCTTCTTCTCTTTTCTTCTTCTGCTTCCTTTTCTTCCTCAGTCCGCGTTCTCTTTCTCTCTCTCCCTCTCCTTCTCCCTCTCCCTCTCTCGCACTTAATAAACTAGACTGCCTGCTGCTGCTCCCTGGTCCTTTCTTCCCATCTTGCTCACCCATCCCCCCAGCAGAACAAGGAGACGGCTAGAAAGCCAAAAAGGAAACCAACTTGCTTAGACCAGGAAGAAAAGAAAAGAAAAAGCATCAGGTAAACCCACCGTCCGTCCGTTTTTCTTACTTATCATCCTCTCGTTTCTTCTTCCGCCGCTACCACCAAAAAGAAACACACCGTCAGAGGAGGAAGCAGAGAGAAAAAGGGCAGCGAGGAAAGAAAAAGAAAGCACCCGGTAGCATCAGCCTGGTCCTTCGTCCCTCTCTCTCTATCCCTCGTCTCTATTTTCTGGCCGTCGCCGTCGTTTCTTCTTCGTTCTCTCTCTCTGCCTCTTTTTTTTTTGTGGTGGAGTCGAAATAAGCTGACCCAAACACGGCACAGACCACACTTATCTTTTGACGTCTCGTCGTCCTTCTCGTCGTCTTTTCCAACTTCACCTCCTGCAACCTCACCTCTTCAACGTCCGCTCTCCAGAACCTCCAGCGTCACCGTCCTCTTCTCCCCCTCTCTTTCTTCTCTCTCCTTGTTCTTGTTCTTCTTCTCCTTCTTATTCTTCTTCTTCTTATTCCTTTTCCTTCTCTCTTTCTTTTTGCCAGTGGGTGGCTCGCCGTCTCTTTTCGACTCGCAAAAAAAAAAAGGTAAACCCCCCCCCCCGTCCTCTTCCTCTCTCTCGTTCTCTCTCGTTCTCTCTCTCTCTCTCTCTTCTGTCTCTTCTTTCTCTCTTCTATCTCTCTCTCTTGCCGTTTTGCTTGCTTTCCGTGTTTCTTTTCCTCTCCGTTTCTTGATTTCTTCGTTGTATCTACTTCCGGGTGGCTGGCGTCCTTTGTACTCTGCGAACTGCGTCATTTGTTGCCAAATAATACCGATCTCCTTTTTCTTTTGCTTGCGTCGGGATCGTGAGGAAAAGAGAAGACAAGAGAGCCAGAACTCCCTCCGGTTCCGCTCCTCTCTTCACGATCAGCACCTCTTTCTGCGGATCCCGCTCCTCCCTCTTCTACTTCTCCGTCAGATCGAGTGCGTCAGTAGCGGGCCAGGGCTTCTCCGGTGGGAAGATTGGGCAAATACGACACCCGGGGACAGCCTCTTCTCACCGCTCAAATCGGCTCCTCTCTTTTTCATACGCTCTCTCTCTTACTGCGGCTCTCTTTTCTTTTCACTGTGAGAAATCCACCGGTTCGAACATCTCTCCTGTGTGGTCCGCATCAGCTGCATCAGAGGAGAGGGGGGTGGATAACCCACGCTCTTTAATCTCTGCAGGCAATCACCCGGAGTCAACCCCTCCCAAGTCAAGAGGTGACTTCTTCTTCTCCATCGTTCGGCCTCCTATAGGTTTGCCTTGCCACGACGACCATTTTCAAAGAAAAAGACAAGAAAACAAGACATATACTGGAGAAGGGGGAAAAGAAACCTGCAAACGACACAGATTATAGACTGATACTACTGCCGTAACCCGTCCTCGGTGTTACGTCCTATACTTCAGTTGCTTGATACCCTGCATTAGACTGGTTTTAAAAAGCCGGTTCGTCTACCTGCCCGCCTGACTGCTGCTGTTGCTATTAATCCTACCACGCCATTCCCATCACAGTCACCCATCTGCCTATCACCTACCTCCGGCTGTGAAGTTGACGTTTACTGCTACTTGCTTGCCTGCCTCCTCGTTATCACTCCTCTTAAAATCTTGAGAAAAGAAGAAGAAGAAGAAGAAGAAACACATATACCTACCTGCCTTCGTTCGTTCGTACCTTGTTTATCGACAGTTCTGTTTCTGACTTCTCCAAGATCCGACATACGCCATAAAGACACACACACCCTCTTTTCTCGCCTATAGGGCTATGCTAGGCCCACGAATCAGCAACTGCAGTCTTCCTTGTCGGTGTCGTGGCACTTGGGCCTGAGATATTTTCAGATCAGATACAAATTTTACCGCAAGTTTACAAAATTGAAAGAAAAAAGAGACACTGGAAGGGATCTTTTTTTTCTTTTCTTTTTTGCATCTTGAAACGATATCCGACCTAGTGACATCCCTGTCCCGGGTCCCGGTGGTCCCGCAAGTTCGTTGCCGTTTCGATTGCTTCTTGTCAACATTGGATCCTGCATCCTGCACCCACCCCTGTCCATTCCGTCACGGCTTACAGGCCTCCTCATACGCCGCCTGTATTTCCCATTTGCTTATTGCCGATTAGATATATAAGCATAAGGCACTTCCCGTCTGATCCACTTGTCTTGCCTGTGTCTGCTTTCTCCAATCGAGACCACGAAACAACAAATGTCAAACGACCCCGACCGTCAAGGACAGCAGCTTCCGCCGCCGCCACCCTGGAATACTTCCCAGTCTGACTATCCTTCTTCTCCCCAATATCCAGTCTGTCTCCCTTGAACCTCCTTGCTTTTATATATAGCGTAGCTCCTTCCCGCCGCTGCTGATCCTGTCTGTGTTTCTTTTTTTTTTTTTTTTTTTTTTTTTTTTTAATTAGTTGCTCTTCTCTTCAGTTGTCTTGGTCCACTTCTATGTTAATTTGCTCATATCGTGTGTTCAGCCGTGATTGCTCTTATTTCTTGTTGCTTCTCTCCTTCCATTTGTGACAAGCTGGGTGCCTTTGCTAATCTATACCTGACTCAAGCCTTCCAATTCTCAGTCCCCGTATCAATACCCTCCAGCAGCCGGCGGAATGACTGCGATCCCGCAACAACATCCGCAGCAGGACCCTTATCGACTACCTCACCCACATCCACATGCGGCTCCGTATCAACGTCCACCAGACATGTACGGCGCACCTCCACCTGGCCCACCGCCAGTCGTTTACCAGGCAGCAGCTCCCAGACAGAGAACAGCCATAGCTTGTCGATACTGCCGCCGACGCAAGGTTAGTAGCGTTCTTCCTATTTTATCTATACCTTCAGAATTTGACATGAGTATATCCAGATTCGATGCTCTGGCTTTGATACCTCGCAGGATGGTCGATGCAGTAACTGTGTTCGGTTCAATCAAGAATGCATGTTTACTCCGGTCTCTTCGCAGGCACAAGCATTTGTGCCTGCACATACTGCTTACCCCCATCTTCGAAACCTTCCAGCTGGTAGAGGACGGCCCGGCGAAGGCGTAGTCCTGTATGGTCCTCATGGACAGCCTCTACCACATCAACCAATTGCCCACCCAGCCCCAGAGCAAACTTTGCCACCACCACAGGGCATGTATGCACCGCCATACGGAAGGCCTGATGACCGAGCCAATCTCCCTCCGCACATGGCCCATCCACCACCAATAATTCAAGATCCGGTGAGTCGCAAACGCCCCTTCACCGACGATGATTCTACCTCCCACTCCTCCATTCGTCAGCCATCCCACTCGTCTTCAAATTCTGGTTCCTCATACTCTTCTATATCGCAGCGCGCGCCTCTTCCCCGTCGCAACTCCATAGGTGGACCCGAGTACGGCGAGCCGCCAACTTTGCCTCCGGTTTCCGTGGCCACTGCCGGTCCGAGCTATGCACATCCCGCTCCCGCTCCCGGGCCTTATTATGCTACAAGCCAACAGGACAGACGTCTATCATCCCATTCGTCTTACTCGTATGATCCTGCCCAAGGCACCCCTCCACGTGCAGGTGCGCATACCCCAACCACCAATGCGCATTTGCCAACACTTCAACCCCTGCATAACGCATCCTCAATTCCGCCAGCCAGGGAAGGCGGCCCGACCCCACCACCGGGACAACCCGCTATCCCAGGACGGAGTGGGCTTAGTGTGCGTGACATGCTGGGACCTCCCGAAGGTCAACGCACTCGCACTTCCACTGATAGCGACATGTTGAATGCTCTCAACCGGGGAGGGCTGAACAAATAATTCCAACCATCTCTTGCGTGAAAGACTGGGGTTATTCCAGTGCAGAACAGATCACAACAGCCATGGTGAATGGGAGAATTGAAGGGCTATGGGATCTAACTCTAATAATTCGTCATGGGAGAGTGGAGATTTTTTTTCTTAATCGATCGATGGAAGTCACCCATCTCACGTGCCGGTCACGAGAGAGGGAGAGAGCTGGTTATTGCATAAGGCGGCCGTGTCTTTAACAAAGGAGCATCAGCATACATTCATACAGCAGGTTGAAGCCGTCCACACGGAAAAAAAACAATGCACGTATCCCCGGGACAATGTTGTGTTGGGAGGATACTTGGTCCATAACAACCTTGGTCCACTCGGTGTTAAAAATAGCCTCTTGCGGAAAGTTAACAATACACGCCATTCCTGGAAGGCCTGGCCTATCATACCCTTGCCATATTTTCGGCGCGCTTTCTTCACGTTGCTGCGGAGGTTTATCCCCATTCCAATATCTACCAACACCTTATTATTCACTATCAATACGTTGCGTTGCATTACGCTGCGTCTAACTGCATCTTCATGCTATCTGTCCACCAGGCTCCTGAGGAACGCCACGTTCTCTTATACTCCTTCCTCCCACCACCATCTTCAACTAGATTTCTACGCTCTGGAAGACATCATCAGCATCACTTTTAATTGCAAGCAACCTGATTTTCATCGGCTTGTTCATGCTTAAATCCTATCTCGTGCGTTCTGCTTGTCTGTTTCTGGAATTTCCGTTCGCGAAAAAGTCTTATACACTACAAGGGGCAACCCATTAATTATCGTCATTACCATACCACTTGCCATTGCATACTTTACGGCAAACACTTCAGCCGGCACAATCCAATGGCCTGAATGTTTCCCCATTTCCTGACATCCGAGTGGCTTGCTGTCTTTTTCTTGTGTTTTATGTTCCAGCGACTATTATTCATGGCTTGATGAGTTCCTTTATCTTTTCCGGTCATATCGGATTACTGGGAAATATCGATATCATGACGGTGGGCGGGGGCTATTTGAGCTTTTTGTCTACTTTTATTTCGTTTTTTTCTCCAGTTATTCCCCCTTTCCTTTCCCCCCTGCTTTCAATCCTTTGCTTTTGTAGCTCTTTTTGACTGCGTTCCATGTACCAATCCCTCCAGATCTTTCCCCTATTGAATTTTTTCCGGTTGGCTATTTCGCATACATTTTATATTCCCCATACACTACACGTCGATTTCCCGCAGGACCACCACCCCACATCTCACGCAAGCACAGCTATCATGGCATGGAGCGTACGGAACGGAAAGGCATGGTGCAATCCATTCATCAACTTCGAACCATCGGGTTTATGACAACCAACAAAAAATACAACAAAAAGAGAGGAGAGGGAGCGAGGACAGAATGGATGAGATAACGTTGGGCGGCTATTTGAATTTTTTTTTTATCCCTTATTGTCCTTTGTGGTTTTTCGAGTGTGGTACCCGTTGGCTTTTGTTTGGCATATTATATCCTTGTTTGGGTGGGTGGTATTCTGAGCTTTTATCTTGCTTTTGTACTTTGCAGCTGCGTTCCTTTCCATTACCCCTTGATCTCCTCCCTATTCCCTCATTTTGCTGTTGCGTGGCTATGTCCCTTTCTTACGAGGGGCCAATGGCTGCGTATTGTTATTTAATTTTGCTTTGATAGCTCAATTTGACTGATCAGTGGAGGGAGAGAAGTAGCAAACGTCTTGATCTTGCCATTATAAATTATATACACCCATTTGCTTATCTAGTTCGTTGGGATTATTTTATGTGGGTCGCGTGGAAAGGACGGATATGTTCCGGTCGTACGGATGGAGTTCGAATACTAGATCGATCGGTAGTAATAGACCTATGCAAATATAGAGATAGAACCACCCTGTTTACCGGAGCGATGGTAACGAAGACGAATTGTGGAGATCAGCCAGCTTGTATAATACATATTACAACCAACTTTACTACAACGAAAATAAAATATAGAGGCAAAAAGAAAAAGGCTGCCAGATGGCTACAAGAAGAAAAACGGCTGTGTTGGGTGTGAATGTAAGGTGCAACTTTTGTCCAGGAAGCCAACTCGAACAAAAAATGAGAGTTAAGGTATCGTAACAAGAAACGAAGCCAGCAAGTAGCAGGGAAATTGGATGAGAAAATAGAATATAGAAAAAAACAAACAAAAAAAAAAGAGTGATGTCGAAACAAGTTCAAAAGAGACCGACTGGAGACATTGTTCAATCGAGTAACACATTGAGGAGGTACGGGGTATGTTATTTTCCCATAACATTTCGCACGGCGTAGTTACGGCGTAGTTAAACCGAATGGATCGATTCTCCAATCTCCAGAAAAAGGAGGCGAGGGGAGTCTTAAGAAAGGACTTTGATCATCTTCTTAGCCCGGCGAGTATCTTGGACGAGAAAGTTCCGTTCCTTGAGGGCCATCCTAAGCGTCTGGACCACTTTGTAGAATGACGACGATGCTCCCTGGTCCTGGCGAAGGCGAATAAGGCTGAGGTTTGCATGACGGCCATGCTCAAGGACGGAGAAGAACTCGGCCGAAAACTGGACTGGTCGAAGCCGGAGGACTAAAATTGATGAATCGTAAGTTTCTCGAAAGTGAAAAAAGTTATGCCCACCCCATGATGCCCACCCGGATGGTGATAAAAATATGCTTAATTAGAGTTGCAGAAGTTTGTGTTTCTTTCGACTTACAGTTCAGTTCCCCCACGGATCCGCAGATAATGTCGTTCTGGTTATCAAGGTGGAGACCCTCAAGACCGTATTTTTTCCACTCTTTAAATATCTTGACAACTTCCTTCTTTGCACGTGGCTTGGAGATATTTAGCGCAAGCACCTTGAAGGCAGGCTTCATGAGCATGAACCTCGAAAACCAAGTGTTGGTATAGCTAGCAGTGGTCAGTGGTATGTCATCGCTGTTTTTGCGCATGGGGGTTGTTGCAGCTGTGCTATCATCATCTAGCTCAACACCACTATCGTTTGGCTTGCTGTCAGCATCACTAATGGTACTTGTAACATCAGTTTCGTCAGCCTCGTCGGTAAGTCTGTGGATGCGGCCAGGAGCTTTCTTTCTCCTGAAGAGTTTCTTTAGTCGAAGCCCACCGGCCGTTGCTCCTAAATCTCGGAAGTGTTGTTCAATATTGCTAAAGGCAGACTTTCTCCTTTCCTCTTGCATTCGATCAAGGAGATCTGTAAATGGCTTCTCTCTAGATGCCTCAGTATCAGTGGTATCACTGCTGTTTTGACGGGGTTTCAACCAAGCCCACTTCTTAGCCTCATCCGAGTTACGAGCTGCGCTGCTTCTAGCAGAATTCGGATTTTCGTCAATGGAATCCGGACCAGAGTCATGTCTAACTACCATATCCTGAGGAGACGAGACATCGTCTTCATTGCGTCCAGATGCAAGGTATCCTGAAAAATCAAAAGATTTAAACTCACAGTCCAACGAAGGCAATTCTCCTGTTTGCTTCTTTTGGACGGTCAACGATTTGACACTGTCTAGATTGGCTTTGATAGAGTCACTATTCACAACACGAATTGACTTCTTGCTCTCCCAATTATCCAGGCCCAGGTCCAATGGTTTGGTTGGTTCGGGGGGTGGGAGGAAGGACTTCGATTCAGTCTCCAAATAATTTTCTTCAGATATAACTGGGAGGCGTCCGGTTGACTCCCGGGCTACCAAAGTCTGCTTGGTCATTGGTTTGCTACCAGAACTCGCAGTTTCGCCGTCAATAAGACGGTCCAGGTGAGCAATAACATTTTTGAGATAGTCTGGTAGTCCATTAACACCGGCCTGTGCTGAATGTTCTATAAGACGACGCCGAGCCTCGGCCAACTCCAGGGCAGCATATGTACGAGGCGATTCCTGTGGCTGCTTAGGTAGTAAATCCTTTATGGCTTCAACCTTGGGTTCCGGTTCTCCATTGCTGGATATGGAGGACATTGAAGAAGTATCTGATGCCCCTCCGCTTTCGGAGGAACCCTTAGTGGCTGACGATGAGTCAGATACCTGGTTGAATGCTTCTTCACATAGCTTTTCAAGTTCAGCTGACACCTTTCTCGCGTCTTCTCTCCATGATAATCTAGCCTTGGATATTGCCACATTATCCCGTTTTGCGGGGTCACGTTTGCGAGCCATCAACGGGGGTGTAGGTATAGTAGGTGACTCTGCATGGATGGGAGATTGTCCCTGAAGTTCTGTTGCGGTCCGCGCTTTTGCGGCCTGCGCTGCGGCTGGCTGGCTTGGACATAGCGAATATTGTGAGGCTGAAGTAGAAGCCCGTTTTCTGACAGGAGTGTAGTTGCCTGACAAGTTGTGAAGATGTCGGAAGCTAACATTTCGCCGATATCTAATATGTTTCGAGCCCGTTGTGCGGCATCGAGAACTTCCTAGGGAACTATAGGATCGAAACGATGCCAAAGAGGTCTTCTGGGAACTAAATCCTTGGATAACAGTGTAAGATGAGGGGGGACCGGGTGTCAGACTAGGCAAATTCGGCGATGGTGACGGGGCAGTCCCTGTCATGCGAGTTGGCCGTCTATGAATTGTAACATTGGCAAACTCTGCTCGCGGGTTTGGAGTTGGCGTCTGTGAGGATCGGTAGGGGTCGTAAGTTGATATGGTGCCTAGAGACGACGGCTCTCGGTAAGTACCATCTTTAAGAGAGCCTCCCCCCGCAATGGAGAATCTAGAGCCTTTCCATGACTGAGGTGGTGTGAATAAACCCTTGATGTGTGCTGCTGGAGCATGATGATAGTCACTGCTGGAGTGTTTGAGTGGCAATTCACCAGAGGCCTCTAGTTGTGCCTCCCGGAACTTTTGCAAGGTCCGATAAAATACTTTCTCAAGGTTGTCTCTATTAATTGTTACGAGTTAGAAAGATATCAGTCATTGGCATTTGAGAATTGGGTAACACTTACTCTTCGCCAAGGAGTTTTTTAATCAACTCCTCTGAATCGACAGCATGCCAAA